GCAAACTCAATCGCCCCTCCTAACCTATTAGCGGTGTTTGGCTCTACAGACACAGTGGCGCATCAGCCACCCTCGCCTCAATCTCTGCCTGTGTAGACCAAGAACAAGCTTAGGCTTCACGTGGCCTACGCTGGTCAGTTAGACGACTCTGTCTCAGTTGAACCAATGAAAAGTAAGAGAAGGCCTGGGATTCCACTTTCTAAAGAGCCTCACCCTCCTTAGAAAGCCGAAATCGCAGCCTCCAGTTTCGCGCCTGCGCATTTTGGTACTGCAGCGCTTACCGCGGAGGCTTTTAGAACACGCCTCGCGCCCCGCCCACCTCACGCTGCCCCTACTCGAGTCTCACGCCCAGGCCCCTCCTCTAGCTTCATGCCCCGCCCCGCCTCGGTTCTCCCGACTGTCCAACCCCATCGATCCTTTTCCCACCCCCCCCTCGCCTCAGGCCCCTCCCATAGTCTCCGCCCTACACGCCCCGCCCCCGCTCCCGTATAGTGTCCCTCCCACTCGCCTTTTGGCTGCTGTGATTTCCTTTAGCCTCCGGTTGGGGCTGCTGTTTCTCCGATTAGACCTCAAGTGGAATTGATACTGGGTTTGGTGTTTTAACTTTTTCCCAGCCAGCATTTGCACGGAACCATCCTGATATCATTATTAGTTGCTGTGCTAGTTAGTTTTTGTCACCTTGACACAAATCTAGACATCTGGGAAGATAGACTCTCATCTAAGGAATCGTCTCCATCTGATTAGCCTGTGGAGCATAATTTTGATTTTTTGATTGGTATGAGAGGATCCAGCCCACTGGGTGATACTACTCTACCCCTGGACAGGTAGGTGGTCCTGGATTTAAAAAAGCAGGGGGAGCAAACCATGGGGACAGTCATAGTTCGAGTTTCTGCTTTTGCCCCTGACCTGACTTCCCTCAGTGATGGATTGTGTCTAGGAGTCATAAAATGACTTTCCTCCCCAAGTTGTTTTTAGTTACAGTGTGTATCACAGAAGCAAACTAGAACAATTGCAAAGATACTTGTGTCTCTGATATCCACATGAGTGCACCTGGGGAAATGCACGCACATACAATAATTGAGTAAATACAACAAAATATAAGTCTAATTTTTAAAAGGGGGAATGAAAGGTGGACCAGATGGCTCAACCATTGCAGGAACACGTTGTAAACATTGAAGGGAAAAACAAACTACAAAGTTGCCTTCTGACCTCCACATGCTTGCATCACCCTCCTGCCCCACCAAAAACACAATAAACATTTTAAAAAGAGGTAAGCTGGGCATGGTTATGCAAGCCATGGATGTCTCAGCACTTAAGAGGCAGAGGCAGGGGCCGGGCAGTGGTGGCCCACGCCTTTAATCCCAGCACTTGGGAGGCAGAGGCAGGCAGATTTCTGAGTTCAAGAGTTCGAGGCTAGCCTGGTCTACAGAGTGAGTTCCAGGACAGCCAGGGCTACACAGAGAAACTCTGTCTTGAAAAAAACCAAAAAAAAAAAAAAAAAAAAAAAAAGAGGCAGAGGCAAGCAGATCTTGAGGCTAGCCTGAAATTCAACCTACTTAGCTTGTTCTCGTCCAGGCTACACAGTGAAATTTCTTTTCTTTCTTTCTTTCTTCTTTCTTTCTGACTGTCTGTTTGTTTTGTTTTTCAGGACAGGGTTTCTCTGTGTAGCCCTGGCTGTCCTGAACTCACTCTGTAGACCAGGCTGGCCTCAAACTCAGAAATCCGCCTGCCTCTGCCTCCCAAGTGCTGGGATTAAAGGTGTGTACCACCATTGGCCAGACCAACAATCAGGTTCCTACTGAAACAAAGTTAGGCTTCTGCCTAAGATTAGCCTAACTCACAGATAGATGTAGATTGTCACAAAACTGATGACAGTTGCTGTAAGTTAGAAGAAATGTATGGGACTATGAGTTTGTGTCACAGGATAGTTTATTTTGTGTTTTTTTTTTTGTGTGTGTGTGTGTGTGTGTGTATCACAAGAGAAAGTGACATCTAAAACCCTGGGTGTCATATCACACTTCTGCAATCTCAGCACATGGAGACAATAGCACAAAGTTCCAGGCTAGCCCAGGCTACAGTGAGATCCTTATTCAAGAAAGAAGAAAAACAAAACAACCAAATATGAAACAAAATTTAAAAAAAAGAAAACAGACCACAAACTACTAAGTACATCCCTAGCCTTAGAAACTGGAGTTGAAAGACCCATTCTACCTGGTGTGGTGGTACAGGCCTTTAATTTCAGGTCTTGGGAGGTAGACAAAGGCAGGCTCTGTGAGCTCAGGCTCACTGTGGTCTATATAGTGATTTCTAGGACAGCCAGAGCTAATAGTAAGATCCAGCCTCAAAACAACAACGAAGAAAGAAAGAAAGAAAGAAAGAAAGAAAGAAAGAAAGAAAGAAAGAAAGAAAGAAAGAAAGAGAGAAAGAAAGAAAGAAAGAAAGAAAGAAAAGAAAGAAAGGAAAGAAGGAAGGAAGGAAGGAAGAAAGAAAGAGAAGGAAGAAATAAAGAAGAAAAGAAATGAGAAGAAAAGAAAGGACCCAATCTGGGTTGGCCCATGAAGTCTATTTCATTCACTCTTATACTCTTATTCTGTGTTGTGTAAGTAAAGTTAATACCACTGCTGCTGTTCCAAAGGACCTGGGTTCAATTCCCAGAACCAACATGGTGCCTCACAACTGTCTGTAACTCCAGTGGATCCAACATCCTCTTTCCTCTGTGTGGCAATAGGCATTCACATGGTGCACAGATATACATGTAGGCAAAATATCCATATACACAAAAATCATAAATTAAGCCCAGTATTAATGAAATAAAGAGATAAAACAACTAAGAATAAATACACACTTAGAAAACATCTCTGGCTGGGCAGTGGTGGTGCACACCTTTAATCCCAGCACTTGGGAGGCAGAGGAAGGCAGATTTCTGAGTTCAAGGCCAGCCTGGTCTACAGAATGAGTTCTAGGACATCCAGGGCTATACAGAGAAACCCTGTCTCAAAAAAACATAAAAAAAAAAGAAAAGAAAAGAAAGAAAATAGCTCTGGCTGGGTGGTGGTAGTCCATATCTCTAAACTCAGCACTCAGAAGGTAGAGGCATGTGGGTGTCTGAGTTCCAGGACAGCCAGGGCTACACAGAGAAACCCTGTCTGAAAAAAGAAAAAAAAGGAGGAGGAGGATGAGGAGGAGGAGAAAAAGGAGAAGGAGGAGGAAGAGGAGGAGGAGGGAAAAAAAGAAATGTAAATAGGAAGGGAAGAAAAGAAAGAAAAATCATAGCGTGCTTGTCATATATTACAAATTAAGGCCACAACTGTGAAATTATGGATGAATGAAATAGACAGGTCTTGGGCAATACTTCCTGGAAATCAGGAAGTCTAAGGAGGGTTGGTACTGACAGCCGTAGTCATACAGTAGTTCAGTTTACTATAACAACTTGGCACTTATCCCTGTGACATAATAGATACTGAAAGGCTTTGAGGCTGCCTAGAACAAGTCAAATGTTTCCTTGAAGGTTTCCCTCATAAACACAGGCCTGCTTAGTTGCAACAATCGGTGTGCAGCACTCTCATAACCACACCTAGTATTCTCCTACCTCACAGTAACCCTAGGAGGTGGCTTGATCCCTCTTCTTTTATGGAGGAGAAGCAGGCTTAGAGGAACTGATTTATTGATTCTTAACATGATACTGAACTGTACTTGATTGTGAGTTGCCAAGATTCAAACCAATGCATCTCCTAGAAACTATACTTAAATACTGCCAGAGCCGAAGAAGATAAGTAATCAATTTCTTTTTTTTTGTTTGTTTGTTTTTTTTCGAGACAGGGATTCTCTGTGTAGCCCTGGCTGTCCTGGAACTCACTCTGTAGACCAGGCTGGCCTCGAACTCAGAAATCTGCCTGCCTCTGCCTCCCAAGTGCTGGGATGAAAGGCATGTGCCACCACCGCCCGGCAGTAATCAATTTTTTAAAGGGTATGTGGTAAAGACTTCACTGTCATAATTGTAAGAACATAACAGCCTCATTCTGCAAGCATAAAGCTCCTGATACCTAATTACGAGCTTCACTTGGCTTGTCTTGCTAACTCTAGTAATGCTTCTGTGAGATTGTACTAGTGTCTGTGTTGGGCAAGTGTGGAAACAGGTTTAGAGACCTGAAATTAGTCAGATCATGTTGTATGTGTCACTGCCAATAATCTTATTTGATGTGGCTCACAAAGAAACCTCGAGGACAGCCCTCTTCTTGTGTCCACCAAAGAGAGACAGCATTTTCCAGTTTCCTGTAAGGAAATATGAATAGCTGTCCACCCAGCATCTGATGATGAAACAAGGGAATCCAGAAAGGGCCAGTGGGGACTACTCCCTCCCTCAGTCTTGTTATCCAGAGCCCAACAGCAGCTCCCTGTACTTCACTGTAACTACCCCCACCTGCTCCTCTGTGAAGGGTCCCTTTTCCTCTCAAGGAGTCCTGTAAGTGTACCTGTCAACATTTCTGTCTTCATCTGTAACTCTGTGGAAGTGTCTGACTCTTGTGTCTCACTTGTCTCTTTAGGGCAAAGGTTGTGTGTATGTGGGAGTTGTTTTTCAAGATAAGGTTTCTCTGTGTAAAAGTCCTGGCTGCCCTGGAAATTGCTCTGTAGATTCAGGCTGGCCTTGAGCTCCTCCTCCCAAGGGCCAGATTTAAAGGCATGGACCACCACCACCAGGCTGTATGTGGGGTTTTAAAACTTTTGTTTTTATTTTTAAATCATGTATATCTGTGCGTCAGTATGTGTATGTGAAGATGGTGACCCTTAGAGGCTAGATGTCCTTTCTGTGTACTCAGCTGTCCATACAACCCTTCTCTTCTTAAAGCTGTCATCCTTTAGGCCTTCTGAAATTTCACCTGGTATGCAATGAATGAATAGCCTGGAAGGACCCGACTGCCCATTACAAATATGGCTTCGATTGCTTCACTTCCTGCATCATGTGACCGACTTAGTCATCATGTGACTTTGTCCTCTCCTTTAGCCGGAATTATCTTGCTGTGCTAGTCCGGTTCCAATAGATATGATATCTGCCTATATCCTTGTTTTATTTAGTAGATCTTCTCTCTCCAAGGCTCGGAAACTCCCACGATCTTCTCATTCGCTGATCCTGAGGAGCTCAGGTTTTCAAGATCTTCTAGAAAGGTAAGCAGGCAGGATAACAATTTGCCTTGTCAGTCTTGCATCTGGAATTCTGCCCATCCAGATTATGGAATTTGGTGAGTTTGGTTTTCTTTTGTTTTTTTTTTGTTTTTTGTTTTGTTTTTGTTTTAAAATTCATGGCATCATGTCTCTTGAATAAGGCACAGATGGAGGGAGGGCTGAAGGCTGAACTTGATGGGGGAAAAGAGTGGAGTGGGCAGCAAACTCTCCAGCAGAGTAAATGCAAGACACCTCCAGTGTCTACCGGCATTGTCTGCTCACTAATAAAGATGTGAGCCTGTGCTGTGGGTAGCCACAGGCAGCTGCCCTCTGGCCAGGAGAGTGCTTGCAGGGTAGAGAGAGTCTGCTTTATACTCCTTCCTCCTTATTTTCTTCTCAGAAGCATCCTGGTGTCATGGCTGCCTGGCTCATAGGATTCTTCCTATTTCAGGGAGTATCTTGGGCATACGGTGAGTCAAGGATAAGGTTGGAGGCGTGAAGGTATTCCCTGCCCCATAGTCCCCAGGAAGCCTTCATTATGGTGGTGGCCTTTCAGTAGGGACTCTGTAATCCCTTAAGAGTGCCTGAGACATCTTTGGGCTGGGAGTACGGTGGAGGGATTTTTTAAAAATTGTTCAATCCCTGTATAGTTACAGATACCCACTCCCCCGTAATCCCAAATCGACGCTTGCCTCTGCTTGTGCCCTGCCTTCTAGGTGCCCGACCCTGCATGCCCAAAAGCTTTGGCTACAGCTCAGTGGTCTGTGTCTGCAATGCAACGTACTGTGACTCTCTTGACCCCCTGACCTTACCGGCTCCGGGTGCCTTCAGCCGTTATGAGAGTACGAGAAGTGGACGTCGGATGGAGCTGAGTGTCGGGTCCATCCAGGCCAACCGTACTGGCACAGGTAGTCACTTTATCTGTCCCTCTAAGCCTGGACCCAAAGTTGCACCAGTGATCAGCATGTCCTCCTCTGGACTCTGATTTTTCCTCTTCTTTTCCCAGGGCTACTACTCACTTTGCAGCCAGAAGAGAAATTCCAGAAAGTGAAAGGATTTGGAGGTGCCATGACAGACGCCACTGCGCTCAACATCCTTGCCTTGTCCCCCAAAACTCAGAAGCTGCTCCTCAGATCCTACTTCTCTAGCGAGGGTGAGGAAGGGCAGAGCAAGATGGTATACTCTAATTTATGCCCTTTTTATACCCTGGCTTTATTTTATTTTTGTTACATTTTATTATCTCTTGTGTATGCTGCATGAGGGGGGAGGTCAGAGGACAGTTTGCCCGTGTCCATTGTCCACCATGAGGTTCATGGGCTCTAGTTGGGTCTGCAGGCTTGGCAGCAGGAACCCTACCCACTGAGATGTCTTGTCAGCCTTTTTGCTCTCGCTTCTGTATTTTCTCCTGACATTTGCCTCCCTCTTCTCTCCTCTCCTCTCTATCCCTCTTTGAGTGGGTCTCATGTATTCCAGACTAACATCTACTATGCAGTCAGTGATGACCTTGAACCTTTGACCCTCCTGCCTCTCATTTCCCGAATGCTATGGTTCCAGGTGTGCATTAGCACGCCCCGTTTATACAGTATTGGAGCTCAGACTTAGGGCTTCGTGCATCCTTGGCAAGCATTCTGCCACCTGAACTACATCCCTAGCCTGCCTCTCTTTTTTTCTCTTTCCCTTTGTCACCTCCCTCTCTTTACTTTCTGTAGATCAGGCTTGCCTCGAACACTGTACAGCCATGACTAGCCTCAGACTCTTAGTCTTCCTGCCTTAGTTTTCTAAGTGCTAGGATTACAAGCATATGCCACCAGTGTACCAGGCCTGTGGTTCCTAACTCAGTGCCACTGAAATAAGAGCACCTTTTTAAGCCAGGCAGTGGTGGCGCACGCCTTTCATCCCAGCACTTGGGAAGCAGAGGCAGGCAGATTTCTGAGTTCGAGGGCAGCCTGGTCTACAGAGTGAGTTTCAGGACAGCCAGGGCTACACAGAGAAACCCTGTCTCGAAAAACAAAACAAAACAAAAGATCACCTTTTCAATATTCTGCTAAGTACTTAGGAAACGCCTGCTCAGAAGGGGCTTCTGTTTCACTTAGGTTCTGGTCTCCACAATTCCACACCTAGATCGTGGCTCTGAATGAGACCCTATTGAAGACTGACAAGTGATTAAAGCCAATTTTCATACTCGCCTTATTTTATTTTGTATTTTATTTTATATTGAGACAGGGTCTTTCCTTGTGGCCCTGGCTGGCCTGCTTACGTTGACCCAGCTGCCTCAGCTGCAGGAGGGATTACAGACATGGTGCCACCACACTCGGCTCCATTCTCTCCTGGTGATTCAGAGTTCCCTATCTTGGCCATCATTTCCTGCAGGAATTGAATATAACATCATCCGGGTGCCCATGGCCAGCTGTGACTTCTCCATTCGTGTCTACACCTATGCTGACACCCCTAATGACTTCCAGTTATCCAACTTCAGCCTCCCAGATGAAGACACCAAGCTCAAGGTGTGCATTCTGGTTGCTTCAGCCCTCTTGGTATTGCTGTTTTGGGGCTGGGAAGGTCCAGGTTAGAGCTGTCTCTAGAGCAACCTGGAACCTACTGCAGCCTATTTGTCGTAGGGTTAAGAGGGTGGGGGCTGATGGTTGGACCTGATGCACTGGTTGAACTAGTATGTGTTCCAGCTCTGGGTGTCTCTTTCTTCACTGTTTGTCTCCAGATACCCCTGATTCACCAAGCCCTGAAGATGTCCCCACGCCCCATTTCACTCTTTGCCAGTCCCTGGACATCACCCACTTGGCTCAAGACCAATGGAGCAGTGAATGGGAAGGGGTCACTGAAGGGTCAGCCAGGGGATATCTATCACCGAAGCTGGGCCAATTACTTTGTCAAGTAAGGGATCATCAGGGCCATGGGGTCTGGACCAATCTCCCATTTGAACACCTTAGTCTACATCGTACCCCTTGACCTGCTCCACTTCCAGGTGTACTCCTTGCTCGTTTTTGAACATTCTCTGCCTTTCAGTTTATCAGTTTTGCCTCTTACCCATATCTTGGTCCACTTTCTTAGCCCTGATCACTCATGCCCTTTCTCTCTTGCCAGGTTTCTGGATGCTTATGCTCAGCACGGCATAAAATTCTGGGCAGTGTCAGTGGAGAATGAGCCTACTGCAGGGCTCTTAACTGGGTATCCCTTCCAATGTCTGGGCTTCACTGCTGAACACGAGAGAGACTTCATTGCCTATGACCTAGGGCCAGCCCTTACCAACAGTTCTCATGACGTGAAGCTGTTCATGCTAGATGATCAGCGGTTGCTGCTTCCCCGCTGGGCACAGGTGGTAAGCTCTAGAACTTCCCAGGCTGTCCCAATGGACTCCAAATCTACTATCCAAAATGACTGGCTGCAATTTTAGAGTACTTTCCCTTGTGCCAGGGTTGAGATAGGGTCTTGCTATATAAACTAGGCTAGCCCTGAAGCTGTGGGCATGCTGCTGACTTGTGAGTGCTGGGATTACAGGCATCCACCATACCTGACTTCTACTTATTTATTTATTTGAGACAGGATCTCATTAGATAGCTCTGATTAGTCTGAAATTATATAGACCAAGTTGGCCTTGAACTCCTAGAGATCTACTTGTCTCTTGTCCCCCAAGTGCTGAGATTAAAGTCACATACCGCCATACCTGGCCTCTCAACTCTCAACATGGAGGTGTATGTGTGGGCCTTGGCTGACAATTTGTCAAGAGCTGCTGAGCTTGGTGTATTTTTGTCTTTGTTTTGGATTTCGAGACTGAGTCTCTCACTGATTAGGTTAGGTTTGCTAGTCACTGAGCCCCAGAGATCTACCTGACCCTACCTGCTCAGTGAAAGGATTGCAAGGCCTTGCGTAGGTGTGGTGCTGGAGATCAACTGAGATCCTCAGCTGCATGGCAAGAACTTTACCAGCTCCAATTTGTGACTCCTGTAACACCCTAGGCCAGATCTAGTTGCCCAGGGCACTGCCCATTCTGGACTTCCAGGGCCCTATCACTGTTGTCAGGGTGATACCTTCCAGTTGCTGGATTCTACCACCCATTTCTGCACCCCTCTGTGCTGGGCTTGTGGTCACTGGCTTTTCCTATTGTTCCTTTCCTCTCTCTGTGCAGGTGCTATCTGATCCAGAGGCAGCTAAGTACGTTCATGGCATTGCTGTACACTGGTATATGGATTTCCTGGCTCCAGCCAAAGCTACTTTAGGAGAGACACACCGCTTGTTCCCCAACACAATGCTCTTTGCATCAGAGGCCTGTGTGGGCTCCAAGTTCTGGGAACAGAGTGTTCGGTTGGGCTCCTGGGATCGAGGGATGCAGTACAGTCACAGCATCATCACGGTGAGCCACCTGTCTCCAAAAGCACACCATCTGAGATCCCTTTTCTAGTCTCATGATGGCAAACAGGCCTTCCTCCTCAGCAGGCTTGCCAGCTTTCTCTTTGGGGCAACTGTGGGATGCCATGATTATCTTTTCCTTCACAGACGTATATGCCCATCAGTCTTTTGCTTCATGTTTGGGTCCCTGGCAGCCATATCTGCCCGATTTCTCAGTTCCTGAGATGCTTGTCTTCACAGTCCTCATCTCCTCAGACACTGAGACAGAGCGTCCCTTCAGAGGAACAAACCACCCCTAGTCCTTCTGTGATCTTTGGCTGTCTTTTCTAGGGATACCCATCTTTACCTTTTTACCTTGCCTTTACTCTAGAACCTCCTTTATCACGTAACTGGATGGACTGACTGGAACCTTGCCCTGAATCCTGAAGGAGGGCCCAACTGGGTCCGCAACTTCGTTGATAGCCCCATTATTGTTGACATCCCCAAGGACACATTTTATAAACAGCCCATGTTCTACCACCTTGGCCACTTCAGGTGAGTAGAGAATGGGCATCCCATTCCACAGCAGGCCTATCATCTATCTGTATCAGGCTTACATCATCCTGTATCGTGGGGGAGCAGGAAGGTTTCTAGGGTGGCAACCCTGGGAGGGGCTCACTCCTCCTCTGTTACACCATGTAGGCAGGAAGTGATTAGGTGGCATCAGAGCCACAGATAATCCCCAGAGGACAGGACCAAGGCCCAGCAGCACAGCTAAGGCTCAGAGTTAAGAGTCTGGCTGTGTTGCCCAGGGAAGCCTGGAGTCCCTGATGTCTGTCTTCACATTCAGCAAGTTCATTCCTGAGGGATCCCAGCGAGTCGAGTTGGTGGCCAGTGAGAAGAATGACTTGGAAACAGTGGCACTGATACGCCCTGATGGCTCTGCAGTTGTGGTTGTGTTAAACCGGTAAGCTGAGTACAAAGGCAGGTCTGGGCCTGAGCAGTGTGAAGTGGTTGGTTGATTCTCGGCTTTTCTTCTCTCCAGATCTTCTAAGGATGTCCCACTTACCATCAGTGATCCTGCCTTGGGCTTCCTGGAGACCATCTCACCTGGCTACTCCATTCACACTTACCTGTGGCGTCGCCAGTGATGGAAGATAGCTAAGCAGGCACCGGGGCTTAGCATGGACATTAAAGGGAAAGAGTTAGCTTCTGTGCTATCTGTGACTAAAGAAGGTACAGCAGGGCCTGGGTGACCTTACAGTGACACAGGGGCAGGAGCAAGGGTTTGGGTGTCTCATTCTCCTTTCTATATATGTGTGGGAAGCCCTAGAGTCCCTCCAATTTCCCATGGTTGTAAAGTGTGCACCATGCACTAGTTGCCCGTGGAAGCTGAGCCTAGGTCCAGGGTGAGCTCACTGTCTATGAAGCACAAGATGGGGATGCCTAGGGAAGTTGGGACTGTGCAGAGGAGCAGGTGGGTCAGTTTAAGGGCTGAAGCAGCTTTAGAACCCAAGTGCCAGAGGGTGGGCCTACATCTCTACATTCTCACTGTAGCATCTAAGAATGGCAGCAGCCACATAAAGAAGAAAATACTGGATCCCAGTTAGTGTAAACAGTTTTATTCTGAGGCCAGCACCCCAGTTTTGGCTGCTCCAACCATGGGGAGATGAAGGGACGTCTGGAATGCACGAGTAGAAAAATCAGTCCTGGGAACAGGAATGCATCAGTCCTCTTCATCCTCCTCCGCCAGGCCCAAGGCCCGGGTGCCCGGGGCCCGAGCAGGGCTTGTCCGCTGGATAGAAACAATACCACTGAGCAGGGCATAGCCCACCATGGCTGCCAGGCCTGCCAGCACAGAGAGAATCTGGGTTCTGCGCCGGTATGGCTCCTCCTCAGTCTCAGGGGCTGCTGGTGTCTGGCGTGGAGGTGGTACCTCAGCTAGGAGGCAAGGAAGGCAGGTAAGCAAGGGAGTTAGGCCTTGGACCCCAGCCCATGCTCTCCATCTGCCCCTTACCTCCATCCCGGGGAAAGTAGAGGTTGAGGATATGGGTGCAGTAGACACAGAGGTTGTGCAGCCCCCGAAGGTGGGCCTGCAGCTTCCCACTGGGCAGCTTTGCCTGCAGCAGCAGGGCCAAATGGCTAAAAACAAAGGCGTCCAGGGAAGCAGGGCTGGAGAGAGGGGGTTGGGGGGAGGGAGGTGAGATGAAGTGGACAACTGCACAGAGAGGTCAACATGACGTCAGCAAGAGGGAAAAGTCTGCTTCGGAGGGGCAGGCTCTGGGCAGCAAGGGGCCGTCCAGGGAAGAGCAGGACACCTAGCTCTGGATTTGGAGGACACCTAGCTCTGGATTTGGTAGGGGGAGCTCCCCAGGTGGCGCCAGCCTGGCCCTGAATGGACTTCTATCCCAGGGTTGCATAATGGACACATTGAGTGGCGCCCAGCCCAGCAGTCTCCTCCTGTGCCTGGCTTCTCTCCATCCCACCTTCCTGTACCACCAAGGAGGTTCCAGCCACACACACACACAGCTCCCCTGTCACCAGAGGCGGTGTCTGTCCTAAGAACCTCCTGTTCACACCTCAGCCCAGGCTTTGACACCTGAACCTGTATCTTCTTCCAACATCCATTTATCCTCCCTTGGAGTCAGACTCACGCATCTCCAAAGAAGAACTTCTGAGAGCCCAGACGCTGAGAGAGAAGGGTTAGGCACTCTCGAGCCTCTTGATACAACTGTAGGGAGGGACAGGAGGCATGTGGTTGGGGGAGTTGTGGCACTTCCCATAATCTGTCATCTTTGGAGTTCATCTCTTTTGTCCCCAAACTACCTCTTTTTCTAGTTCCTCCTCACTCTCTGACTTGTGCTTGCCACACAGCAGCTGCAGGCGCTCCATGTACTGGCGTTGCATGCGGCCAGGCAGGAAGAAATTGAGCGGAAAGGGCATAGCCTCTGCATACCACTTTCGGGTCACTTCCACATAGTTCTTGGCATCTATCCAAAAAGTATGGATCTGGATTGGGCAGACAGGAAGGAAGAGAAAGTCTGCGCCAGCGCACCTGCCTGTCACGGGGTGGGCTTCTAAGTCTCATGGTGCTCTGTCTATCTATCTCTGCTGTGAATGTTAGGTCTAGGCGTACTCACTATCACAGGGAGTAGTTTCTCTTCCAGCAGAGACATGAAGGCTAGGGTATCTGCTCCTTGTCGAGCTGACAGATCATAGTCGGCATTATACTTCTGTGGAAGAAATGTTCATGAGGTGAATAGTGAAGGCTTGCAGGGACGCTCTTCTCAGTAGGGAAAGAACAGTAACCCCACACTAGCCTCAAGCATAGTAGAGGTAGAAGAAGGAGTCTTTCCTGCTGAGGTCTCCTTGCCCCAGCCCAGCCAGTAGCCTGTTGCTGTTGGCCAAAAGCCTGGGCTTTGGAGCCCACTGGCTGTCAAGGTCCTGCACCCACTGGGGGGGAGGGAAGAAGGCCTGGCCGCAAAGTGGGAGCAGCTCCCAGAGTTTCCACGGAAAGCTGGCGGTGTGCCTGCTGACAGCAACTCTCTAACAGTAACTTCCTGATCCAGACACCACAGAGCTAGCAAAGAGGACCTCAGCCATGACTCAGAAATCAGGGGCCACCATCTTTACCCTTCTTGAACCCAGTACATTTACACCCAGCCACCCCGAGCCCCGCTTGTTTCTCACGGCCAAGCTCCTGACTATGTCTTGTACGTCACTCCAAACTCTTATGTACCGTTACTCTACATTCATCCCCCATGTTTCCGTCTCTTAGTGTGGCCTGCCTCCCAAGGTTCAGTCTGTTCTTGGTTCCCCCTCACAGACTAAGAAAGCTTTGTATCTGCACAGACTCTAGAAAATGTCTCTTACACTTCCCTGAACCTCAGTTTCTCCTTTATGGAAGGAGACAGTAATCTTTTTCTCTCAATGTGGCTGGGTTTGGAAATAACTTAGGAAAAAGCCCTTTGGAAACTGAAAAGGCTGTGTTTATATGCAAGTAACCCAGGTCCTGCCAGGAACTCTGGCTTTTATCTGGATCCTATTTCTCCAGGCATCTAAGCTTCCATTACTTTCCCAGCTCCCTGGAAAGTAGAAATGAAAAAGAGGATTCTATTTCTGACTGTATGTTCCCTTTGGAACAACACTGTGAATGCCAGAGCTCTTACAGCATCCTGCCTAAGCACCCTACTTTACAAGAACTTTAGTTGGTGAGCTGGCTTAGCAGGTTAAAGAACTTGCTATCACACTCAGTGACATGACGTCCATTCCAGGAGCCCATTCTACTAAATTGTCCAGCGACCTCCCCAAGTGTGCCATGGCATGTGTGCACATACACCCGCCCCCCAACAAGAGAAATAAATGTTTAAAAAACAAAAATAAGAGTTTATTGATTTGAGAAGTTAAATCACCTGTCCAACATCACAGTCAATAACAGAATAACAGAGCCAAAGCCTCCACTCTCTTGTAATTCTCTCTTAAACATCCCAATGTAGCACTAAGCTTTGTCCATCCTGAGCCCTATATCTAGCATAACTTAGCACTTGAGAAGATAAATGGTCCGTAGAAATACTTGTTTTTTCTTTCCCCCCTCTGCCAGCTTTTACTCCTTTCTTTGATAGTTCTCACTATATAGCCCAGACTGCTCTGGAACTCAGTCTATAGAGCAGGTTGACTTTCAACTACAGAAATCTGCCTGCCTCTGCCTTCCAAGTGCTGAGATTAAAGGTGTGTGCCACAACTGCCCAGTGACTTGTTTTCTTTTTTGAGAGGAGGTCTTATGTATTCCAGGCTGGCCCCAAACACACTATGTAGCCAAAGATAATTTTAAATTTCTGATCATCCTACTTCTACCAAGTCCTGGGGTTATATACATTGTACCACCATGCCCATTTATATTACAAATCTTTGGGTCCACCCCAAAGCCAACTGCTGTTCTCTACTCTTCTTTATTTTCCATGTGTCAGCCTGTGTATTTCTCTCCCTCCCTGCCCATTTGATTTCTCAGGCTATCCTACCCCACAACCCCTTAAATTTAATATCTGGCCAACAGCTTAGCACAGTAACACTATTTATTCCTCATGCTGTTCCTCAGTGCTCTGGATCACCCTTCTCTTGCTTGGCACATGTCTGCTCTTCAATAAATAAGTGTGACACCTCACTGCATGGACTGGATTTCTTCCACTGTCAGCCCCCACTCAAGACACCTACCTCTTTACGAAGATGGGTGATGATCCTGTGTGGCACTGTGATGACTTTCCCATCACTGGTTCGAAGAGCAGGCAGAGTTCCTGATATTGAGAAAGAAGTACACTCACAAGGTCTAGCTTGCCTGGTCATACTGATTTGCACTATATTCCTGTCTCCTGCCCCTCCCCTTGCACATTCCCTTCACTACAGGGATACTGGATACCTGAAGGGCTCTGCCAAGGATTGTTGATCTTGTGCACCTTCAGAGGAGCACCTGTAAATCTGGTATAGGTCTGCAGGGAAGAAAGCAGAAGGTAGAGAGGCCAGGGTGTGGCTTCACAAAGAAACCAAGAAAAGAAACAGTGACTCAGTAAATTATGTGCTATGATCTATACTTAGCACTTTTATACCAAAAGGAGAGGCGGAAAGAGTGTGCCATTCCCATTTACAAATGGGCAAACTGGACCAAAGTTTTGTGGACATGTTTTTATGTCCATTTCCAAGATTACACATTAGGAAAATATTTCTACCCTTTTGCCATCTACACTGTAAAACCTATTCACAAAAGCTTTTCCTAACTAATATCCCTCTTCCTGGAAGTACTGACTTTCTTTGGCAGTCTCTGTATTCTATTCCTACTTTATGTCACACATCTGATCATTTTATTATTTCTGTAAACAATTTCAATATGGGGGTCAAAATCGTATTGCAAAGCAATGTTTTACTATAAGAAGCATAAGAAATGGTTTTTATAATCCCGAAGAAGATGAATGAAGTGAAGTAAGTCTGCCTAGTTCTAAAGCTCTTCCTACAGTCTGGCTCTGGGACTGTCTAATCTACCAAAACTAAACTCAAATTCTTAGCGGAAAAAGAAGGTGAAAGGGACTGAGAGGGCAGAAACGCCAAGACTAAGATTACCCAGTAGGGGTTATCCCAAGGTCACACAGCCAATAAATGGATAAGCAAGGTCTAAAACCCATCTTCTTTCTGAAGCCCTGAACAAACACATTTCCACTGCTACACAAATCTATCCTAGGAAATCATAGCGTAAGGCACGGAGCCCACTTCGGCCTTTGATTGCCTCAGTTTCTCTCAATACTCTTGCGTTTGGGTTCTCGGCAAAGCTCCAACACCCACTCCAGCTCTCCAGAGTTCAGAGGACGCATGCATAATCCCTCACCAGCACGGCCAGACTATCCAGGTCCACCGACGGCAATCCCCAGCCCCCTGACCAGCAGAATAGCTCCATGGGCGCCGCCATCTTGCACACTCTCTGACCCGGAAGCACCTTCTCATACGCGTCCGCCTTCTCTCGCCAGGAACCGCCCCTGGCCCCTGCCTCTCTGGCCACTGGGGGTTTGGGGTCTGGGGAGGCGTGGTTTTTCGCGGCCTGAGACGCGGCGGGACTGTAGGAGGTGGGGCATGGGCCATCTGAGTAGCGCCTAGGGCTGTAGGAGGTGGGGCATCGGCCTTCTGAGTAGCGCCGAGGGCTTGTCCTGAGGCGGCCCCCGTAAGGGAGCAAGGCTGCGGTCCAGACGCGCTTGGGAGATTCGCGGCGCCTGTGCCGAGCGTAGCCACGAACCGCCGGAGACACGGAGGGCTTGGGAGAGGGGCATCTGGTGCGGCTTATCGGCCTCTGGGGGCACTTGCCAAACTGCACATGGCCTCGACAACCCCGGGCCCTCTCAGGTCTCTGCCCCGAGCGGGCGCTGCGGGGGGGTCCCCCGAGCCGCATGTTTTCCACAGCGCGTTATGTTTGGAGCGGGCCCCGCGCTGCCTGTCGCCATGGAAACAAAACAGGGGCGGTGGCGGCGCCGGAGCTGAGGCCCGGCTGGGGCCTGAGTGGGGGAAGGGGAGGTGCGGCTCGCGGGCTGTTGCCTTCGTAACGGGAACTCCTGGTTGGTCCCAAGCTCCCCTCGGGTTCACCCCGACAAGGCCTTCCCGCGGTACCCAGTGTTCACCAGTCCCTTCCTTGCTCCTCTCCTCTAGTTTTCTGCTCCAGCCTCTGGTGATGGTTTCCCTTTTCTGATCGTTTAGATTTCCTCGTCCAGTTCTCTCTCGTTGGGCGCTTCTAGACTTCCATTTTTCCCAAGAGTGAGGGAAAAATGGAGGAATGGACACATGTCAGACACGCAACACATCGTAATAAAAAGTATTTGCTATGCCACATCAATAAGCCTCATGTCGTGATCCTCTAGGCACTGTAGCAAGCAAGTTTTCAGTCAGTTTTGGTTAAAGGATGGTCCACTGCCCTCCATTTCCGCCAACCGTGAAATAATGCCCAGAACCTAGAATTGCCCAAGGCAAGAGATTCTGAATTTTCCAACCACTGCTTGCAAAGAACAGTAGCATTTGGTAGCGCTGTAAAGTTGAAAGCTCCCAAGAACCAGATGTCAGGGTAAACGGAAGCATCTTTGAGGAGGACCATTATGAGGGAGCGGGAGGCAAGGAAAGCTGTAGGACTCTTTCCCAGTGCCCTTGGTTTCTGGAGCTGGTGATGCCTCCAAGGTGATTGGCAGCTCTTTGTTTCCGGCCCCCCCCCCGCCTGTTGCCCCCCCACCCCAGCTCGCTTCTCAGTCCCTCCGCCCCCCTCTTGCTCCTACTCTCCGCCTAGTCTTTTCCCTCCCAGTCGCCTTGCCTGCCAGAGGTAGTGAACCGGCTAAGCGGCATGGAGAAGCCGGAACTTTGGGGTGCCCTGGCTCTTCTCCTCCTTTGCTCTTACACATGTGGCAGTCAGGACCTTCAGGGTAAGCCTGCATTCATCCCCTTTGACACCTCTTTGTCTCCTTTCTTTTGCCCCCAGGCAAATAACAGACCACATGAGGTCTTGAGAGAGAGAGGGAAGAGTCATGAAATTGAATTGGAGAGAAAAGTTACACTCCTAAGAGCGAACAGTTGGTGATAATTTAAGAGGGGTGGGCACCAGAGTGGTGGGTGAGTGTAAATTGGTCCAGTGTCAGGCATTGAGACCAGAATGCTCAGGAGTGTCAGAGCATCAACAGAATAGTCTGAGAAAGCAGCTTGATTGATGGGGATTGCACGGTGGGGGACCCCGGGCTTGTTTCCCCCTTTACTCTGGCTCTTGGTTTCTAAAAGATAGAGCGGGGGTGGGGATTGGGCAGCTTGAGCTCTCCTGGAGGTCTGGTGCTGGCATGGGCCCATGGGTAGTGTAGGAGAGGTAGCTGGAGCAGATGACACAAGCAAAGATTCTTTACTGGCTGGAGGGGAAACCACAGATTGGCCAGGACACAGGAGGCAGAGGAAGAGACGCTGGGTCCTACATTCCCAGAGGGGAAAGGCTAAACAGTGGTGGGAGGGTCAGAGCCCTCTATGAACGGCTGTAAGACACATGTGATGAGCCCCTAGGATAGGAGGATTGGCACCAGGGTTTGGAATGAGCTAAACCCAGCAGCGGAGAGATTCTACCTCTGGTTCTCGAGCTGTGGGCACCAGGTGCCACTCCAAACTCAGCAATGTCTCCCTTGCGCCACCTGGTGGGACATAGGAAGTTTGCGGGGTAGCTTTGGTATTTGTAAGTGGGCTCTAAGCCTATAGGGTTCCCAAGGCTTTGGAAGCAACAGATCGTGCTTGGGGGGGTGGGGGGGTGGAGAAGAATTGCCTTGTTAACACGAAAAGGGCCGAGAGTTTTGTTTTTATAGATGGAGTCTTGTAGCCTGATCTAATGTAGCCGAGGCTGGCTGCTTGTTTGAGTCTGTCCTCTCAGCATGAGACTACAGGCATGTACCACCATCCCTAGTGAGTTTGAGTTTTGAAGAGGCAACTTAGGCTGTTCAGAGGTGGATGGGTGATAATCAGGGATGCCTCACCTCTGAGGGCTCAGGAGAGAGGACAGGCCGTCCTCTGATTCCAGCCACTTCCTCTAACTTTGATAATCCCTATCTGGCCAGTAATTGACCTGCTGACAGTAGGAGAGTCCAGGCAGATGGTAGCTGTGGCAGAGAAGATCCGGACAGCTTTGCTCACTGCAGGCGACATCTACCTCTTGTCCACTTTCCGCCTCCCTCCAAAGCAAGGTGGTGTCCTCTTTGGCCTCTACTCTCGCCAAGACAACACACGATGGCTGGAGGCCTCTGTTGTGGGCAAGATCAACAAAGGTGACTGGTGGGCATCCCTTCCCAGCATCAGTGGCCCCTTGAAAAGTCTCCCCCATCCCCACTCCCAGGTGCTCTTTACTCTCCATGACCGCCACTAGGGATACTGGTATGGAGGTACTCCAACAGTTGGGTAAGGCCTGGTGTTTAAGGGATGGATGGCAGGTTGTTTGTTGGGGTGCTTGGGGAGGGTGAGGCATTTGTGTCCCAGTAATGATAGTGCCACTCATATCTTTGCTAAAGCTGAGTAGGTACGGATTTATTTATTTTTCAAGATAAAAAAAACTGGCCTCAAACTCAGAGATCCACCTGCCTTGCTTCCTGAGTGCTTGTGACATCAATGCCTGGCTGAAAAACATTTATTGTGCACCCGCTACAAGGTGTTGAGAGATACAAATTAGGAATTAACCTTAAGAGATGTATCTTGCTGAGCTGTCATGCCCATACCTTTAATCCCAGCACTTGGGAGGCAATGGCAGGCAGATCTCTGAGTCTGAGGCCAGCCTGGTCATAGGGTGCCATATTGGTATATAGAAGAGATAACTGAAGTCAGTTGCAACATGGGATGGGACAAGTGCCCATACTGACCTCCAATCCTGGGCAGTGCTGGTGCGGTACCAGCGGGAAGATGGCAAAGTCCACGCAGTGAACCTACAGCAAGCAGGCCTGGCTGATGGGCGCACACACACGGCTCTCCTGAGACTCCGAGGACCTTCTCGACCCAGCCCTGGCCTGCAGCTGTATGTGGACTGTAAACTGGGTGACCAACATGCTGGGCTTCCAGCACTGGCCCCCATTCCTCCAGCAGAGGTCAGTGGACTGGAGATTAGAACTGGACAAAAGGCTTATCTGAGGATGC